ACAAGTCTCTACCTTCAAAGAAACTAAACGCTATTCCATCTGTACACATATCACTAAATTTAAAAAAAAATATGTATTGTTCTAGCTGGAAAATAATTAGAGGCAAATTGGGAGAATTAGCAAAGGACTTGTTTAGGAGATGGCCCTGGAAAGGAGACCATGTCATAGAGTGGAAAGGACTTTGGTTCTACAGCAGGGGATCTGGGTTCAAGTCCTGCCCTAGGTGCTTACTATATGTATAATCTTGGGAAAGCTGTTTCCATCATCCTGGGGCCACTAAAGAAATCAGGCTATTGATGTCGATGGTGTCTGTATTCTCTTCCAGTTCTAAACTGAAGATCATATGAGCCTTGAAGGGCTTGGTATCAGTAGCTGGAGTTTCTGAACTACAGGCAGGTATCAAAAAAAAAAAAAAATCTATCTGTCTACTGAAATACCCCTGCTGCTCACTGGCTCATTACCTCTAAGGACCATGTTCCATCTTTCTCAACTTTTCCCTTGAATGGATGGCCTGACTTTTTTTTGGCCCATTCGTTTTAAAACTCCATCCATCACCAACCAATAAACAGGTTATTCTTGGAGCCTGGTTTGTTCTGGCAAGATGCTTGGGCTTATGCAGATGATGATAAATGAGAGTCGAATTACCCAGTTCCCCCCATGGCTACCACTGCCCTCGCTGTCATCATCAGCATCCCCCTTGAAATGAGCTCATTCCACCTTTGAAACTATTCCGAATGCCAGGAGTTTAAATCGGGCAAAGTTGATTTTGTGGGCTTTTTCGAACTTTTACACTGTAATTATATACAGGCCCCCATGCCACCTATTTCCTCCAGACTGTAACATTTTACGTCTTTTTTTAGGCTTATGTTGAGGTCGTTTTTTTTTTTCTTACATGTTATGAAATAAGATATAAGCTTATTCTGAGCGCTAGGCGTCTCTCTGCCAGAAAACTGCCCCAGCAGAAACCAAATCTGGCTATTTTCTTCATCCAAAGTACAGTTTACACTATTCTATACCCTATTAAAGTACATACATAAAACCAGCTCCAATGTAAGCTTCCCCACAGGTCAGCTGGAATCCTAACACTACATCCCATGGAGTAGGTGCTTCTTAGGGCACTCCTGAAAGGCTCAAAGGAAAAACACTGGAAAGCTTGAGGGAGTCCCTGAGGTCCATGAATCCATCATTTATTTCACCGTTTCTTCACTTCTCTCCTCAGATCTCTAGCGAACACAAAACTGGCCCCCTATGAAATCACAGTATTTAACGCTGGAAAGAGACCTTCCGGATCATCCCATCGAACCCTCTCTTTCTTTCAGATGAGGAAATGGAGGCCCACAGGAGGCAGAGACTCACTCTCCTCTTCCTAGGGGTGCCTCTCCATTCACCCTCAGATGTCCGAGAGTTAAATAGCCCTGCAATCGCTCCATTACCAAGTGTGCCTGGGATTCTATGGTGGGCAACCTTAGAGGGAAGCAGGCACATCCAGAAAGAGAGATGAACTGGAGGTCTACTCTAAAGCCTCTCTCTAGTGACCGCACTTGACCAAAGAGGTTATACAATGCTCTGCACTCCATGAAGGCTTCTCAGCTTTGAACTGCCTGGAATTTAGACTCTCAAGCACTCCCAATCATGTCTATGGGTCTGTCAGCAGGCAGAATCCATCTTAGTTCCTGCTCATTAGCAATCCCAATTTCCATAGTTAATAATAATAATAGATAGCATTTATGGAGCGCTCTAAAATTTACAAAGTGCTTTCTGAGAAGCATCTCATTTTGTCCTCACAACAATCCTGGGAGGTAGGTCCTATTATTATTCTTATTTTGGATGAGGAAACTGAGGCATAGACAGGTTAAGTGACTTGCCCTGGGTCACACAGATAGTGTCTAAGCTCAAATTTGAACTCAGGTCTTTCTGATTCCAAGGCCTTCGTTCTATGTACTGTGCCACCTAACTGCCAAATTATGTGAGTGAGTGTGTGTGTGTGTGTGTGTGTGTGTGTGTGTGTATGTATGCACGTGTGTAGAAAATGTGTTTGTGTTAGTCATTTTCTGTCATGTCCAATACTTTGCTACCCCATTTGGGGTTTTCTTAGCAAAGATACTGCAGTGGTTTGCCATCTCCTTCTCCAACTCATTTTACAGACGAGGAAACTGAGAAAAACGGAGTTAAGTGATTTGCCCAGGGTCACACAGTTAATAAGTGTCTGAGGCCAGATTTAAACTCAGGAAAATGAATTTTCCCAACTCCAGGCTGGGCATTCTATACACTGGGTCATCTCCATGCCTTATATATACAATAGATATGCATGTATTTGTCATATATAATATATATTATATAGCATGTGTTATATATAATATGTGTTGTATATGACACATATACATATATAATATATAACATATGCTATGCAAATATGTGCAAGTGATTTTTCTATTAAAAAATAATTCTTGCTGATCTCATACTAGCCATCAATGATCCCCAAAGGTTCTAGTTTCTTTAGGGGCAGATAAAAATCAATAGTCCTATCGTCTCTCTGAACTACACCAAGGTTTTCCTAACTTTGTACGATAATGTTCTAAACAGAATGCATCTTCCCAGAGCAATGTCGTGGGAAAGAGAAGTACATTTGGAGTGGCAGGACCCAGAGACTCACTCTTACTGCCTCTACTTAACCCCTTTGTGACCTTGACTAAGTCACTTAATTTCAGTTTTCTCAGCTATAAAATGAAAGCACCGGACTAGCTTACCTCTAAGGAACCTTCCAGCTCTAAAGCTAGGAAACTATGACTTATCTCTGGGCCTCACTTACCCCAGATGAAAAATGAGGTGGTTGAACTGAGGTTATAAATGTATGATCTTATGATCCACTTCAGAACTAACCAGGGCAGACACATTAAACAATATGTACCTTCAGAGAAAGGTGTAGAATTTCCTTCTTTTTTTTTTATTTTGAAAATGATTTCCTTAGTTTTACTAGATATTTTCAAATACTTCCCTCCAACTATTAATTCATTTAACAAGCATCCATAAAGCACTTAATATGTTCCAAGCACTATGCTAGGTGTTGGGGATACAAAGACAAAAGAAAAATGCTTATGGAAATGGAAGGAGATTTCCAAAAGCCCCTCATCGCTTTACATTGTAATACTCAAATAATTTCTTGGAGAAAAATCATGTTTTATCTCTGGAACTCTAAGCACTTAAATATTACCTAATTAGAGTAATTTCCTCTGAACCCCTAGGAGATTAAATAGGAATCATTCAGTTCCATTTTGCAAATAAAGAAAAAGGAGTCTGAACTAGGTTACTTGCCTTAAAACTAGTTAATAAATCTTCGACTAAGCCAAGATTTGACCTCAACGGATTCCGTCAAGCAGTCCCGTATATCCACATCATTACCTAAACTCTCCACTGTAAAACCCCACCAGCTCTCTAGCAGGGTTCTTTCTGGGTCTCTTGATCTTTCTTTAAAATCCTAATGACAATACATTTTCCACCTCTGCCGCCACTGATTGACTTCATCCTTAGATCTTACTTAATCATTCCTGATCCCCATTTATCATTTCTTAACGCTGACCTCACCACTTATTGGGGGAAAGTCTGGGTGGCTTAAACACAGATGGCTCTTGCTAAAACTGATAAGCACACTTTCACCTATTCACCATGGACGCCAACAAACAGAAGCCGTCGCTGCCTTTAGCTTTTCCAGTGGGGTTTTATAGACACGTATGGCTTTGTTTAAAAAATGTGACCTGGTAAACGGCATGTAAAACACTTAAAGTGTGTGTGTGTGTGTGTGTGTGAGAGAGAGAGAGAGAGAGAGAGAGAGAGAGAGAGAAGTGAAGAAAGAGAGAAAAAGAAGAAAGGAAGAGAGAAAGAGAAAGGAAGAAAAAGGGAAAGAGAAAGAGAAGGAAAGAGAGCAAAAAAGAGAAAGAAAGGAAAAAAGGAGAAAGAGATGAAGAGAAAGTGAGAAATAGAGAAAGAACAAGAGAAAGGAAATGAAGGAAGGAAAGAAGGAAGAAAGAAAGAAAGAAGCCTAATGATTTCATTTTAGTAGTGTCATAAGCCAATTCCTCTCTTCTGGTTATGTCAATTATTTAAATAGCTACTCTTCAATTACAAAATTTTTAAAGAGAATTTACAAAAAACAAAACAAAAAAATTACAAATGAAACCCCTGTTTATTATGGTAGGTTATGGTAATGGTAGACTTATGGTTAAAGATAACTCAAGATTATTCAACTCAAAGGGACCTCTCAGGGACCATCTAGGCCAACCCCTTCATTTTATAGACAAGGATACTGAAGCCAAGACGGGTGAGGTGAATGGCCCAAGATCACATAGGTAGTAAGTGGCGGGGTCAGGATTTGAACCCAGATCCTCTGACTCTAAATTCATGCTATTCCCACTAGAGTCACTGTTATCTGCTAGAAACAAGCTTCACCCTCCAACCTCCATAACACAGGAGTCAGATACTGATTCTCTGTCCTTCTGAACCTAATGGTCAGAAAAGGCAAAGTACCCATGGTTGCTCACTAATCTTCATTCTGCCTTTAGCTACACCCACCTCTCACTCAGCCTCCCCTCCCCCCCACCACATATACTTCTTCTCTCCCAGACTGAAGCCACACCCCTCTCTCCATTATCTTTAAATGCTATCTATGGCTTTCTATGGGCTCTTAAGAAGTAACAACCTGGGTATGAAGTTTAGGGGGATGTAGGATTCAGATGCAATAATGCAACTACCATCACCAAAGGGAAGGATATCACCCAATGTAAATATTCAGCTGACTTCTATGACTCTGATGTCGAGGGGGTGATTGATTCTCAGAATCAAGGCCCGGAATTTCCTCTCCCTAGCAAAGCTCAGAAACAAGCCAGGATTGCATAAAAGCATCAGATACCAATGATTTTCTCATAGGAGTGACTTCCTTTTACATATAGTTTCTTCCCCGCCTCCAGGGCCCTAAACCTTCTTTACTGGGGGAGGTTCAGACTTACCAAGCAGACACACATTATGCATGGGTTGTCGGTGATAAAAGGGATCTGGAGCACTTCACCTTCATTTTCACATTTAGCAACTGAACCTGTGATGAGATCAAGACGGTTTTTAAATTGAGTTTTAGTTCAGTGGCTGATAACAAAATGACACCATGATTTTATAGTGGCTCTTTTTTGATTCCTTCCCACCCTCTTCCAGAAATTCTTCCGATTAGGTTTCCTCTTTTTCCTTTCTTTTGGGGGAGGGGGGAGGGTGGAGGCAGTGGATCGGAGTGCCACTGTTACTGAACATTTTTGAATACCCGCTATGTACCCCCTAGACACGGCAGCATTTAGTCTGTGACCATTCAGGGGATCTGTCTTCATTCCAATCCACTAGATAATTACATTCTGTACCCGGACTCTGCTAGTCATCAGGGCTACGAAGACCAAAAAGGGACTAGTCAGTCCTCAAAAAACTTATTTTTACTGACATTCAGTGATCCCCCACCCCAAAATAAACAACTTTAAAATGAAACACACAGAAACAATTCAGGTCTCCTAAAGCCCATTTTGGCTCTATTTTGGGGAGGGAGAAGGGACAGGCTTTCCCTGTCACTGAGTAAACTACCGTCTTTCTCAGTTGGTGTAACCATCATATGAGTGAATAACTATTCTACAGCCATAGAGACGTTCTAATCTAACATCTTTCCCTCAAAAAAAAAAAAAAATCTGATTAGACTCTTGGGTAAAAATTGAAAATGGACCCAATTAGAGCTCTCTGCCCCGGCCCCCTCTCCGATCGGCCTTTTATCATCCTGCCTGAAATCACTTTTTGAAACGTAATCCTTGTTGCTTTTACTAGAAATTGACTCAACACCCTTTTTTATGCACCAGGTGTCAGTAAAGTATGTCCTCCAGAAAAAAAAAAATAGCTTAGGTCTTCACCTGCCTGAAAACATATAATTATATCCTGCGAACATTATCCTTAAAAAAAAAAAACAACGCGCTACTTTCTTTAAATTTAAGACTTGGGTAAGTGGTGCATTTTGATGCTCCAGTAGCACCCGAGACTTGAAGAAGCTCGTAGGCTAAGAGAATTAGCCGTAAGTGCACCCTGAATGAGGACAGGGATAGTTAAATGCCGCCTGGATTTGGGAGTCGGGGAAGAGGGACAGGCAAGCATTCGAAGGATAGAGGGGAGCCCGCGATCGGAGACGCGTTACCAGGCGCCGGGTCTAGGGAACTCTTGCCACGTGAAAATCATCAGTCTTCTCCCTGCCTGCCTGTGCCCCAAGCCGCGGCTCCAGTGACTCCGTGCCTATCACCCAATTCACATATATTCCTCTGCCAGATGTGTGTCCCAGGCTTTGGCTAGCCTCTGCAGGCGAGGCGATTACCAGGACGGAAGGAACTGAGCTAACTCCCTGCTCTGTCCGCTACCGGCCCCTTCAAGAGCTCCCTCCCAGGTTGCCTCCTCAGACTGTTCAGCACCGCCTGCAGCAGCCACTGCAGCCTAGGGACACTACCTCTGTTTCCCCTTTCCCCCTACCTGTCAGGAATGAGGAAGCCAGAGACATCTGGACCCACAGGTTACTCAGCAGCAGCCAGACACTGAAGGCGATCCCAGGAGAGGCCAGCCACTGCCGCGGAGCCAGAGCCCGGACGCTGGGGGAGAGCCAGAGCATCGTCACCTGAAGGCAATCCGGGGCGCCTGGAGGCAATCCGGGGCGCCTGGAGGAGGGCTTGCCGCCGCCGCTGCCGCTGCCCTTTCTTCCTCCTCCTTGTCCCCCTCTCCTCCGCGAAAAGAGCGTCTTCTCAGTCGGCGCGTCAGGAGACGGGGAGGGATGCAGTGGGAATGGTAGGCAGGGGAGGGAGGAGGAAAGCAAGAGGGGTGGGGGGCCGCCGGGAGGAGGGGGCCGGCCCGCGGCTGCTCTTATCCTAGGAGGCTTTTTTTTTTTAAGGGAGTTAGTTTCTTGAGGCTCCTCCTCAACCCCTCCTGGAGCCAGACAGCGGCAGGCGGAGTAGAGAGGATAGACGGACGGACTGACAGACGGGGCTGCCGGCTAGCGGAGCCTTATCAGCCCGTGGGGAGGAAACAAGCAGGGAGGCGGAGCAGAGAAGACAGACGGACAGACAGAAGCGTCCAAGGCAGGGAAGGAAGAGACAGAGGAGACAGAGGAGACAGCAGGAGAAAAAGGAGGAGACAGAGGCTAGGAGGGTCGAGGTTAAGCAGTGCAGAGACAGAGAGACAGACCCAGGGACAGACCCAAAGACGGAGGCAGAGCCACACGGTGTGGAGTAGGAAGGGAGACTGGGAGAGAGACGGACGGGGCAGCAGCAGCCGTGGGCGGCCCAGCCCCAGCCCGGGGTGCAGCGGCGGCGGCGGCAGCAGCGGCGGCAGCAGCGGGGCGCACCGTGCCGCACAGGCTATCTGCTAGCCGGCTATCTGGCTGCTGCCGCTGCGCTGCAGGGACTCGACACCCTGCCCGGGTGCTGCGGGCCCCAGCGGCGGCCGCAGCAGCTGTCACCGCCCCTACTCCCGCCCTGGGTTCCGCGCGCCCCCTCCCCCGTGGGTCTCTTGCACGCGTGCGCGCGCGCGCACACACACACACACACACACACACAGACACAGACACACACGCGCACACACACTCGCACACACACACACTCACACACACACAGAAACACACACACTCACACACACACAGAAACACACACAGACACAGACACACACACTCACACACACAGAAACACACACAGACACACACACTCACACACAGAAACACAGACACACACACACACACACACACACAGGCTTGCACCCCTGCGCTCGCCTTCGCACACCCGGACCGACCGACTGGGAGCTGGGGCGGCAGGGATCTTCTGGACGGGCAGCCCCTGGACTTCCAGGCAAAAGAAGCAAGCCCTAGCTGCGAGCCCTTTCAGGATCCCACCCCGTCCCCAGATTGGATCGGGATCATCCAAAGGAGAAACCGAGGCAGCCTCGGAGTCACCGAGCGTCGTTCCTCCTCCAGGCGCCGAGACAGTCTCTGGGCATCCCCGGCTCCACAGAAGAGCCAGGGACACTTCACCGTCGTCTGTCTCTTCTGCTCAGGCCCAGGGAGACAGGCCGGCTGCTAGAAGGGGAGAGGGTGCTGGCGGAGGGAGCGGGGTCGGTAAGGGCCAGGCCAGGTATGGGGGGGGCCAGGGGGGGGTGGGGGTCTGGGGCGGGGGGCCGGGGGGGGGGGGGGGGGGGCGGATGGACAAGCGGAGGCTATGTGTTGGGTAGCTTCCACCATCAGCGCCTTCTGCCTCCTCGCGCTAGGTACAGTAGGAGTGGCAAGGAGGTAGAAGGCAGAGGGCCCTGGAGGAAGCCCAAAGTAACTGCTTGCTTTTCTCGCCTTTACGCTAAGAGACGCGGTCCCAGCCCTCTAGCTTCGCTGCTGGCCGCTGGAGGCGCGGCTTGGCGCGTGATTCATTCACTAGCAGATGGAGAGGGAGGGAGCAGAGGAGGGGGAGGGTCTAAACCCGCTGCAGCCACTGATGCTGCTGCTACCGCCCCGCCGCCCCAGGCCCAGCGGCAGCAGCTTCTGCTGGGGGTATAGTTACAGGCAGCCCTCCCACCCTGGGCCTGGCTCTCCCCTTCCCTTCCTCCTTCCATCTCTGTGCTGCCACTGCATTCCCTCTTCCTCCTGGGCCTCAGCTCGGACCCCATCCCCGGGCCGGACACAACACCGCCTTTTTTGTGGGGGGGGGGGGAAGGGGGGAAAATAAAAAACACAAACACATATACATGCACACACGCATACACATGTGTGTACATATGCATGTGTGTATGTACATATGTACATGTATTTACATATGCACACATACTTACATAGACAAACACGTTTGTCCATGGAGAGGACTCGAACGGCCCCAAAGCTCCTGCAGGTGCTGCGATCTCCCTTTGGGCCAGGTCACCTTATCCTGGAGTCCGTGCTCCTCCCAGACTGCTCCAGATGCTCCCCGCAGCCACCGCCGTCGTGTGTCTCTGTGCCTGGTACTCCTTGAAGTCGCATCCGTGATTTGTCTCTTTTCACGGCAAATCTCACCCAACCTCTGTTTACAAACAATGCGGCTTGTGCAGCCAACACATCTTTGCAGCCCTCTCGTCTCCCAAAGGGTTTTCCTTGGCAACGCTGTTTGCCTTCGCTGAAACGAAGCCTTTGAAAATAAATTAGGCTATTTGCAGACAGATTTCGCTAATTCCATCCTAACTTTGTTCTCCTCCCTTTTTATTTGGTTTTTTTTTTCCCCCAAGTGGTTCGGAGTCTTCCCTTAATTAATACAGGAGAACTTCAATTACAAGTTGACTGAGAATATTGCTAATCAGTATCATACATACTTTTTTTTTAAAGAAAGAGAAAAGAAAAACTCTGGTCTAAATTTGTTTTTAATAGAACAATTTTTCAAAGTATAATTTAAATGAAAAGAACTATCAACTGGGGAGGAGAAAAGATTCCTTCCACACCACCCAACCAGTCCCGCTCAAGACTCTGCCTCGATCTTTTCTCTTCTCATGGAACGTGGGCCAAGAGATCATATACTTACCAGCAAAGAAGACAGAGGCCTCTAAAACAAGCCTGAGTGCAAGTCTTCAAAAACTGACCGTGAATCCCTCAATGGCAGATATCAAAATTCCCAATGCTAGTAGATAAGTCTAATTTAAACCTCATCTAGTCTCTCCCCCTCCGCCTAAACCAGGGGCCATCCAATCACCCAGACTGGAGCCTTTAGAGAAGGGCTCTACAATCTTCAAGATAGGGGTCTAAAGTGAGAAGCTAATCCTGACTTAATTTTGGGGAGGTGGAAAATGCAATCATAGCAGGGGGTGAAGGAAGACCTTTCTTTTCTCCAGTTCATTTTGTATTTAAGTAAATCTTTTAAGAGTTAGGATTAGTTTCTCTCTCTCTCTCTTTCTCCCCCTCCTCCTCCTCCTCCCTACCTTCCTCACTCTATCCCTCTCTTCTCTGTCTCTCTTTGTGTCTCTGTCTCTGTCTGTGTCTGTGTGTGTCTTTCCCTCCCTTTTAAAATAGAATCTAGTTATTCGTTAAGAGAGGGGCCTGTGGTTTGTTGAAGTTAAACTACATATCTCCCTTTATGTGCAATCCTAAACACACTGGAGAGCACACAGGCACACTTCTAACTTGCTATAATCAGCTATTTCTTCTTCATCATTGTAAGTCTTAATAAATGGTTTTTTTAATTCATTTGTCCATCCATCCATCCATCCACCAATCCATTGAATCATTCATTCATTCGTTCTATTTGATCAGATAAGGTTGGCTTCTAAGAGAAGTTTTCTTTCAGTTTATCTGAGCATCTCTGAGTCCTCTGCCGACTCCTTCCAGTGACATCCTACCAGGAGCCACTTGGTCTGTGCATCCTCCAAATGCCCTGGCGTCATAAAGAAATGAAAAAAGGACCCAGAATCGAAGGCGCCCTGCTTCCAAATTTAAAGTACTGGTGGCATTCAAATGACAGTGAAAAGCTTTTCACTGAGATCAAAAGGAAAAGGCAAATTGGGTGTTAGTTCAGTTTCAGAAACCTAGCTGGAGGCTGGAGGTTGGAGGCTGGAGGGGCTGGGGGTCATGGTGGAATATTTAACTCATATTCAATCTCAGGTGGCTTGGAATGAAGAACCCCCCCCCAATCCTTTAACATGAAAGGTGTGTAACTTAATTAGACCCAAAGGGAACTCTGTGTCTCTGGCTAAAGGAACTCTCTCTGTCTCTCTCTCTCTCTCAGACCCAAAGCATTAACCTTCCTGGCCAACAATGTGCGATTCTCACTAGGGGGAAAAAGGCATCAGTTGAAATACACACTTAATTACTTGACTCTAGTTACATCAAAGGAAATTCATCTCAACCTAAGTTTCCAAAAATAAAAATATCCTTTAAGGGAGTGAGGTGGGAATATGGTAACCCTGCCCCAGCCCTTAACCCCTACCGCCACTGTGTGAAAAATCACAAAGCTAGGGAGAGCTATGGCCTTCCAAAAAGTTAACTCAGGTTGGGGGATGGGAGAGGGGGGCACTGGGAAATGGTTAAGGCCCTGCCTGAGGGCTTCCCTCCCCTCCTTAGTTTATAGTAAGTTTGCCACAGGGACATTTTGAAAGGAATTATACTTTTTTTTTTAAATCTGATTTATGAGGAGAAAAGCGTGTGCTGGGAATGTTTCAAAGCTGAATGGAAGACACAAAGAATTAACCTTAGGAAGGTCACTGATTCTTCTCTGACATTGATGACTGGCCTATAGAGTCAGACCCAAAGCATGCCACTCTGATTTGCTAACGGCAGAATGCAGCAGATCAATCCAAGAGAAAATCCCAAATTGTTCTTTTCAATTAACAGTAGTAGGTCATCAGAGCCTAGACTTAGGGCTGGAAGGGGCATTAGGGGTCATCTAATCCAATATCTTCTTTTTACAGATGAGGAGAGGTGGCCCAGAAAGGAAGAGGCTGCAACATTATTGGTGAGGCTGAGGCTTGAAACCTGGTCCCCGGCTCTAAATTCAGGGCTCTTAACCCCTAAACCACATTTCCTCCCAGTGGAAATTATGGAATATTCAGCACTTGGTAGAAACTCAGGAAGTCTGGATTCATATAATAACTAAAACAAAAGCAATAATACTAGCTAGCATTTATATTGATATATACAATCTTGCTTGCTCCTCATAACCCTGTCATTTAGGTTATAGTGTTATCCCTGTATTACAGATAGGGAAACTGAGGCTGAGAGAGTTTATGTGACTTGCCCAGGGTCACACAGATAGTAAGCTTCTGAGGTAAGATTGGAACTCAGGCTTTTGTGATTCCAAGCCACTTAACCTCAGTCTGCCTCATCTATAAAATGGGAATAATGATAGCCCACACCTCCCCACATACTTGCAAGGGTCAAATGAGATGATACAGGGGAAAGGCTGTAAAAATTGGGAAGCCTGGTGTACATTTTATCCACCTGTAAATAGTCTATAGAGCATTAATGTTGTGGCAAATGTACTGGGGTTAAGGGGAGTCTGGGATGCTTCACCCTTGTTTCCCTTTTCCACTAAGCCCCCTCCCCACTCTAAGCCGACACTCACAAAGTTGCTTTTATCATTTAACTCAAAAGCAAATCAAGCTTCCCTTCTCCGAAAGAAA